CACACTGCCAGACAACACCAGTGACTGTTAAGTACCTCTGTTATATTTAACAACACCGCTGTGATGTGTCTGTGCTTGATTCTCGTACAGTTTCAGAGTGTGAATAAGAAATTAAAACCTGTCTGGCCCTGCCTCCAAAAATATAGCAACCATGCATGTCTGCATCTAGTGTGGTAAGCATCTTAGCCTCACATGTTCTGTGCTCTAAATAAGCTGTCTAATTGGTGAGCCCTGTTCAATCTGTTTTTCACACACATATGTTCTTCTCTTCAGGATCAGAGTAATGCTTTTAAAAGTGAACATTAATGAGCTGAATTATTTAACTGTTTTTACATTCAGAAGTCTGCAGGTCTCTGCACACAATATAAGCTCTAAGAACAATGCTGTTTTTCCTGAGTGACATCCTCACCTGCCAGGACACCTCTGATTCGATGGGTTGAGAATAGAGGAGAGCGGGTGAGACACAGATGGAAAAACAAAGGAAGCGAGGGATAGAGAAAAGAAATTGAGGATGATAAGTGCTCTCTGTGAAGCTGCTGTCTGGCTGCTGAAAGGGGGTCTTTGTATAAAACAAGCTTTCATCACTTGAGGGGAGAAGAGAAAAGAGAGATAGAGAGCGATAGAGAGAGACTTCTAATGTGCACCCACCTGCACTTCCCTTGCTCACACTGATATGGAGTTTACACACACACACACAGTATTAACATGCGTTTCTATGCGTTCCTGGCCCCCTCAACCCCAGTGAGAGGACAGACAGCCTGTGCTCTCTGACTGAGCTCTTTCATCCAGCCTGAGCGGATTCAGTCACTGCTCACAGCTCACACTGCCCCGACAAACACCTAAGACTTCCCACCAAACACTCCATAACAAACACCATTTAACATATAAAGACATCGAACAAGAACATAAAGAAGAACTAAAACATGGTTAAAATCTAGATTAAATAATAAGGTAGATAAATAATAATGTTTTCCACACAGCTTCCACAAGAATACCGATATTTAGAATTTTCATTTATATGTACCAATATAACAACAAACAGTAATATATACACCACCGTTGAAAAGTTTGGAAAGAAATTAATACTTCTTTTCAACAAGAATGCATTAAATCGAAAAACTGACGATAAATACATTTATAATATTACAAAGGATTTTTATTTCAAATAAATGCTGTTCTTTTGAACTTTCTACTCATCAAAGAATCCTGAAAAAATGTATTGCAGGTTCCACAAAAATATTAAGCAGCACAACTGCTTTTATCGTTGATAATAAATGCTTCTTGAGCACCAAATTGGCATATTAGAAGAATGATTTCTGAAGGATCATGACACTGAATAGTGAATACTATGACTTGTTGAGACTAATGACTGCTGAAAATTCAGCTTTGCCATATTCATATTCAAATACAAACAGTTATTTAAAATTGTACTTCACATACTTCACAAATACTTCACAATATTACTGTCTTTTTATCAAATAAATGCAGCCTTTGTGAGCATGAGAAGTCTCATTAAAATATCTTTCTGACCCAAACCCTTTAAACAGCAGTGTAGATAGATATTAACATTAATGGCTAAACCATACGTTAATACGTCAGAAATGTCAAATGGACAGCATAACTTGCTATTGAAGCTTAAATAAAAAAATGCTAAAATGTTAACTTTTGTTGTAACACTCATAATTGTTGATTGCGAGATGGAGGGCTTGCGGATTAAAGTCTGATGCTGATATTTGGGCAAACTTAACCCATGGTAAGAGTTTGTGGCAGGATTCAGAGGAAACATTGACACTGTTGTGGAAGAAATTTTTATTTGGAAAACAAATGATTTTTCTATGTTCTTTCGGTGCCACTGATGGTTTAAAAGCAACAAAATGGACCTTACTAAAAGGTCAGGGAGTAATATACACATTTCCATAGCCAAAAGTATTATCAAATGCTAAATAATTAGTAAACATTCTTGGGGCAAGAGATGTATGTCTTTGTGAATGAAGGGCTGTTAATATTCTAAAGCAAATCTGTGGAGCTTTATGAATTTTGCTAATAGCAAAACCTATCCTTACTAGCAACCACAAACATCAACAGATACATCTACACATCTGTTCAAGTTAATGACATAGAATACAGCCTTTTGTGAATTATTGGTGTTTGTTTGGTGCAGAACAGGACACACAATCCTCATCCCCATCCACCAACACCTCACACAGCATTCAGCCGCCATGCCATTCACTCATCTATCTTTCTCTGTTTTTCACACACGTTCCCTCTCCCTCTATGTGGGCTATTGACTAAACAAAATGGCCCTTGACATTTCTTAGCTAAATAGCTTTCCTGCCAATCTCAGGCCGTGTCAGCTGCCTTCACCGGCTGCCCGCATTTGCTCACCTCCTAAAGAGAGAGAAGAGAGAGGAAGAGGAGGAGGAAGAGCCACGCTGGGCTCAATAAATGAACCACCGCAGGACTAGATCAAGGAGCGAGGAAGAGGAAAGTCATTATGCTAATAACTCACAAGGGAACGCTCTTTCTCTCTCTCACTCTATTCCCACTGCATCTCTCTCTCGGTCTATGCCGTTCTCCCCTGTTGAGTGACACCCCGGGGGAGGCCGGCCGGTGATAATGAGGAGTCAATCTTGTTAGGATTAGTTAACAACATACAGGTCGGCAGTCATGCAATCCATTCTGAGGACAGGAGAGCAGGGCAGAGGAAAGTGATCAGGTGACATTTAAACATGCACTGAGATGTAAATGTCTCAAGGGACTTTAACATCTCTAGTGCCAGATCTGACTCACTTCTCTTCGGGATTTGTAATTAAAGGGAAAGTCCACCAAGAAATGAACGTTCTCTCATCATCTATCTGTTCCAAACCTGTATGACAATCTAACGTGGGACACAACAGGAGATATCAAGAGACATGCCATAGCTGCTCTTTTCCCTACAAGTGAATGGTTACCACGGCTGTCTCTGGTCCCCATCCAATTACAGCAAGTGCAAAAGCTCTACTTCAGTCTAACAAATCTGTAATTCATATACAAAAAGCCATGTAAATCTCTTTTTTGTAAAGTCAGACTAACAGACTTGAGAATGTAGCTCAGCTTCATCCAGGATGCAGCTCAACTGTTTTCAACATTGATAATAATAAGATTTTTTTAAACACCAAATCAGCATATTAGAATGATTTCCAAAGGATGGAGTAATGGCTGCAGAAAATTCAGTTTCACAAAATTATACTTAAAATATATTAAAAACGTTATGCTTTCAATTGTCATAATATTTCACAATATTACTGTTTTTACTGTATTTATGATCACATAATACAGCATCGGTGAGCATAAGAGATGAAAATGTTGTAGTGTAAATATACTGTATGAAAAACAGCAGCTCGGACATTTTGCTTAATATCTGGTTTTGTGTTTTGTGTCCAGAAAATATTACTGAATGTTAATTTTTTGTATGTGTACTATCCCTTTAAAAGTGTTCTTTTCCCTAACCTTTCCTCTCTCTCTCTCATCAGCAGTGATTTGAGGATCACAGTAATCAGCCAAACCCCAGGAGCCCCATTATAGACACACAGGGTTGTTACACAGCTATTGTCAGCCTTTTCTGTCCAAGTACACCATACACATCTCCTAACTGCCTTTTTCCCCTCCGCACAGACATCTCTCACACACACACACACACACACACACACACACACTTTTAAACTCCATTTAATCCGAGAGACTGCTGATCTGAGTGGGTGTTCTTATATTGTCTTATATAGGGTTATTCCTCATGGAGAAGCAAAGCCTCTTCCTTCTATTCATCTCTTTCAGATTCCTTTGAAAGAGTTCAGAGAGAGAGAATGAAACAGAAACCATGCTCTATTTAGACAAAAGACAGTCTTTTTTGCCCCAATCTATGGCTTGCGTTCCTGCATTCCAAGGTATATTCTGGCTCATCCTGTGTCTCCTGAGTTCCCTGAGAGAATCTGTGCCAGTGCCAGATGTGCTCCAGTAACATCTGGACCACAGCAGGAAGCACATGAATTTAAAGGGGCAGTTAATGACATGCCATGGGACATTTAAACCACCATATGCATCATTACATTACATGATTTAAACAACTGAGGCTTCTCTAAATCTTTCAGATTGGGGGTTTGAAAGTAGGGGGAATCTGGACTATGCAGATTATGGGTTGTATTAATTTGCTAAATTACCAAATTTCAGAAAACACTGTTGCGACTCGAACCTGAGACGCCAAAAAAACGTTATTATGACTTGCAGGTGTGTAAATGAAGTGTAGCCTTTTCAATTTTATAATCATACTAAGCTATATTGCAATTTTGATTTTATTTTGATTAAGCATTCAGCTTTACCTTGTGGTAAATGTTTTTATAATTTACATGATATGTGACCCTGGAGCTCAAAACCAGCCATAAGTAAGTCATAAGTAGCACGGGGTATATTTGTAGCAACAGCCAACAATACATTGTATGGGTCAAAATGATCGATTTTTCTTTTATGCCAAAAATCATTAGGATATTAAGTAAAGATCATGTTCCATGAAGATATTTTGCAAATTTCCTACCATAAATACATTAAAACTTAATTTTTGATCAGTAATATGCATTGCTAAGAACTTCATTTGGACAACGTTAAAAGCGATTTTCTCAATATTGAATTTTTTTTGCACCCTCAGATTCCAGATTTTCAAATAGTTGTATCTCAGTCAAATATTGTCCTATCCTAACAAACCATACATCAATGGAAAGCATATTTATTGCATAAATCTCAATTTTAAAATGACCCTTATGACTGGTTTTGTGGTACAGGGTCACATATTTTTAATTGGAGATACAATTTAAATATATAAAATTGACAAAAGCCATATGATTCGAAGGTCATACTGAAATAGTCTTTGAGTCATAATATATTGGAAAACAGCGATTAAATGTTGCAGAATTATTCTGAAGTATTTTTAAGTTTCAGTTAACAGCTCTGCACAGGTAAACAAACGGAATTATCAGAGAAATGAAAACAAATATTTTGTTTTCAAAAAAAAAAAAACCTGTCTTTTTTGACAACCAGGTCCATCAAAGTGAAGGAGGGATTGGACCAAATGTGAGCTTATCTTCACCATTTAAAGGCTACTGTTAAAGCTTGATTTTCATTTGTTTTCGTCTAGTTGATTGGGATTTCCATGAGGCGTTTAATCTCTCAGAGCACTTAAACTATAAGACATCATTAACGCCCCAGCAAAGGATGTGGCAAACTAATGAATCTTTTACATCTACTCTCTTCACAGACAAACACTCTGGGCCTGTAGTTACAGATCCTACTTCACTGTGCAATGAATGAAATTAATTTCTATTATCGCTCTGAAAGAGGCATCAGCATCAGAGGTATGCCTCCTTTTCCTCTCTCCTACCTGTTCATCCCCTGTAGTTCCTGTACTTAGTAATATGACTCCATCTCCTTCTGTATTCCCACTAGTTAGAAATACGACTCCCGTCTTTCTGTGATTTCTGCTCTCTCCTGCAGTTAAAGGTATGTCTCCAGCCTCTCAGTAATTGCTGCCTGATGAGGGTCTTCCTGAGGCGATGTGAGACTCATCAGTCTCCGGGCCATCGGCACTCTCACGGCCACGCGTCTCCATAGCATAATTTGTCATCCTGATGGAGAGCTAATCTGACAGGATGTCTGCCCACAGACAGAGAAGGCGAGATATTCTGTCTGTACGTATCCTTTATTTCCTGCACTGACTCAGTTTCTCTGTTTGTCTGACTCTCATTTTCTCACTGCCTCTGTATGCCACTTATCTGCCTCAATCTATCTCTCTGTGAGCGGTGTGGTTCAGCAGGTGTCTGCCCTTGTATAGCGCCCTAATACAAATCCTGGGACTTGACAATCTGTCTCTGGAAATATGCTTTTGCTCACCAACGACAGCTCTCTCTTTTTCCCTCATTCCATTTCCTTTCTCTCTCAGTTCTGTTTAGTCTCTCTTTTATATACCTATTTCTCTTTTTATATATCTTGTCATTTCTTAAATGCATTTAAATGTCATCTTTGACAACATCTGTATGAATTTGTGGCATTAAAAAAAGACATGAAAGAATATTCACATTTTGTTCATTTGAGACTGCTGAGAGGAAGGTAAACAGGAGAATGAAAGGAATATTCACTCAAAATGGAAAGTTCTGTCATCAGTTATTCACCCTCATGTCATTGTAAACCTGTGTGAATTATTTTCTTCTGCGGAACACAAAAGAATGCACTTTTCCATGTCAAAACAAAGGTAAAAGATGACAAAAAGCACCATAAAAGTAGTAATTATGAGTGATGCGCTTTTGTGGTTTACATGCAGAAACATTGTTTTGTTTATTTTGGAGGTGTCCTCAATCAGCTTGTTTTTGGTCAGATTTCTGATAATTTATTAAGGATGTCATGCCCTGTCATGCCCAGTTTACAGTTGTTTTGTAAATGTCTTGTTTTTCTCACTTAAGACATGTCTTATAATGACCAATACGTACAGTACACTACGTATTAATTGCTAAAGCATTAGCTAAATCTAGTACCAAAAAAAAATGTAAAAATGAGTTAAATAAACAAGTGATTTTAATTTTGATGGCAGAAGTTCATACCTACAAACAAATTTACGTTTAATTAAAAAAAAAAAGCTGTAAAATGTGTTAATATTTATAAACATTTTTAATCTTACCTTTCTTATGTTTATTTCCATCATTTTTTTATTTCGGTTTATTTGAATGAACTCCCTTTTGTATTTGTAAATCTTTAAAAAACTAGTGATGCATTAAATTTTTAGAGTTGTGCAAGGAAGAGACCAACATATAAGTTGTTATTCACTCAAACTGAAAATTTTTACATTTCAATTTCTGGCTTTTTATCCACACACTTCAGTAGACTTGGAAAATAATGTGATAACATGACTCGTATGGACTACTGCTATGATGGCTTTATGGTGTTTTTCATGATTTCTGGTTATCATGGAAAAGAGCAGCATCCGCATTCTGCTAAACATCTTTTATGCTCAAAAAAAAAAGAAAAAAAAAAGAAATGGTTTAGAAAAACATGAGTGTGAGTAAATGAACTGTGTGTTTTGTGTTTGCACTCACATTTCTGAAGTCCAGTGTTCATCTGCGAGTGGGGGTGGAGCTGAAGGGAGAGATCACCTGGCCCTGGCAGACAGGCCAGCATCTCATACACACACACACACTCACACACTCACTCACACACACACACACACACACCCACACTCACACACACACACACTCAGTCACTCCTAGAGCAACATGGGCCACACACTCCTCCTCACACTGTAGAGACAAAAAGAGAGAGAAATTCGATATTACAGCAATTACCTCAGTGCTAAGTTCAACACTGTCTGAACCTAAAACAACATATTGTCATTAACTGTCTTTCTAACTGCAGTGCTACATTGGTTAGCCCCGCCCATAGTGAACTCTCATTTGTCCACAATCTCACTTTGCATAACAGTTAAACATCAGGTATGTTCTGATTAGCTGTGACTAGGTGTGGTTTTACAGCATTCAATGCGGACACAAAAATGACTTATTGTGTTCAGTGTTGTTAAAAGCAAAGCCATTTAAGTTGTTTTCGCTAACTGAAATGAATCTGAAAGAAAATTAAATGAAAAAGTTCATTTAATTCAATTTTTTTTTATTTAAACATAAATTAGAAATGTTGCCTTGGCACATGACTGAAATAAAACAAGTTCAAGCTGAAGTACTAAAATTACTAAAAAAATTAAAATAAAACCAAACCTTCAAAATGTTAGGAAATAATATCATATCAATAATACTAAAACAATACTGGTTGTGTTACACCTGGCTGTTTGTATAAAAGCTTTTCAGATTTAGATGATTAAAAGCTTTCACAGTACCACAGTAAAGAAGAAAGTCTAAATACAGAAATACAGTAACAATACATTAACACAAAGTTTAATATAATGCTATACACTAAACAATTAAAGTAAAAACAAAGGAATAAAATGATAAAACATCTCTGAAATGCAAACTTTTACGATCTGTTAATTGAAGGATGCCTACAGTCTTCATTATTAAAAACAATTGTTAACAAACATTAGTCAGTAATTAGATTTTAAACAAAATTGTATTCAAAACAAACTAATTAAAAATGTCTCTTTTGCCCTCAGAAAGACATGATTTAAAAGGCATGGTGTGCATTGAAAGCTTACTGTTAGAAATGGTGCAAAGTTAAATGACTCACAATCATGTTTTGGATAATTTTCCAACATAACAGGAGCAATGAGACAATTACCATCTGTCAGTTTGACACACACATTTTCACTGCATTCATTAAAACTCAGCAAGTCTTCTAATCAAGTGTGTCATGAGGAATGCATCCAAACATCAATTCAAATGTGCGATTGAGTGCAATTTCACACATATTTATGTGAAAAATTAATTGCATGGCAAACAGAGTTTCCGTTGCAATTACAAAAAGAACCAGCTATGATAGCTTCAAAGCTTTGGATTCGCATCAATTAATCAACCAACCCATCAATCAGGTGAAGCTTAGGAAATGAAAATCTCCTTCTTTAATCATCCTCTTTGCCAATTCAGAGCAGCAAAAACCCCTCACATACCTTTCCATTCCAAACCACTATAACTAATAGTACAGCAGCAGGCAAAACTCACTTCATATCAAATCTGAGGTTCAATTTAACATCAAACATACCAGCCAGAGTGCTCTGACCGTGCCCCAGGCGCTTCATCTCACTCTCCTCACCTCCACATCTTTGGCCGTCCTCTCGCATGAATGGTGTGTGTGATCGAAGGTGACCTTTGCTAAATTCCAAAGTTTCACATTTGAATTTATTACTTCAGCAAGGCGAGAATCAGACCACTGAGAACTCTGAGATTTCCGATACCTCAACCATCAGTCATGAAACACAATGAGTTAGTGTGACTGTGTGGGCACAAATCCACATGCACAGAATGGGAGGAATTGTCCTGACCAGCTGTCACTGCGACAGGATGTTCTGTTGATTGCTTGTTTTTTTTTTTTTATTTATGTGGTATCTACCGGATAGCACCGTCCATCTGTGAAATGTGACTGATTCAAATTGTTCTCTATATAACATTCAAAAGTACCTGTCCACTTTTTTAGCAGCCTTGGTTTCAGAATTTTTTTTCCCATAGGGATTTTTTAAAAACACATTTTTGTTAATGATTTTTGATAACGATGATCCAAAACAACAGCACCCAAAAGCTAATCTTTAACACTCTTTGCCAATATCCTTCAAACCACTTAGATTTACCCATTTGTCAGCAAGAAGTTTAATCATTTAAATATAATACAATTACATTTTCTTTTATGCATTTTAATAAGTACAGTTCAGAATAAGTATATTACATAAATGTGTTACGCTGAATGATGGTGAAACATTATTTCACCCATATTTTTATGTTTTATTTTGACAAAGTAGACACTTGCATTTAATACGCCTTCTATGTATATAAAATCACTACTGTAAATTGAAGTTGATGGGGACACGAAAATGGGTGCATGTTGATTGTGCATATTGAAATAATATTGGTCACACTTCATTTTAAGGTCCAATTCGCGGTATTAACAAACCATTAACTACGACTTTTGCCTCAATGAACTACTAATTTGCTGCTTATTAATAGTTAGTAAGGTAGTTGTCAAGTTTAGGTATTGGGTAGTGTAGGGATGTAGAATATAGTAATGCAGAATATGTGCTTGATAAGTACTAATAAACAGTCAATATGTTAGGCATGCTAATAAGCAACTAGTTAACAGTGAGAATTGGTCCCTATACTAAGTGTTGTGTTACCATAATATATTTTGAATTTATTGCAAAACAAGCATATTAGTATGGAGACTGCACTCTATAACAAGAATAGACTGAACATCAAATATCTTCTGATGGCTGTGATCACATTGCAAAGTATGTTGGTGTGATGTAGACACAAATTGTTGGACACTTGTCATATCGCACAAGGTTCGGACACAGTGTCAGTGTGAATGCATGTGGCTCAGGATGTTTTACTCTCTATGAAAGAGAGGACACAAAGATCAACAACTATGGATAATGCCTGGTAATTTGTGGTGAGAAACCCCGCATACAGCCACGTACTACATCCTCTCACTACACACTGACACTAGACAAAAACAATGTATTAAAACATGTATAAGCAAGCAAACAGTTCAGACAAGAAGCAATTATGCACCAAACAACTCTGACAGGGCAGCACAAGGCCAGCCAGCCAAAGCTGGGAGAGTGAGAGAGAAATAAAGAGTTTGTATGTAGTGAAAGGTCAAGAAGGCAGCTCATTAAAATCCTTCCAGTGCACTAACAACGCAGCAAGGCTTGATACAAACATACTTGCTCTCTCAAATTTACCTGAGGAAGAGTTCTAATCTGAAAGCTAGTGAGCTGTCTCACTGTATGCTGTCTGCACCGGCTGCTGTCTTCTAAGTGAGCTTAATGAGTGAATGATTAGTAACTCAAATTATGTTCCACACGTGAGACTCAACCCAAAATTGACGTCAATAGTCTGCCGTTAGCATATTGCTAAGCTAATGGCGCAATACTCTAATAGGTTGGGTAAAAATAATCAACTCTAAATATACCAAGCTCTTTTTATAAACACGTTTCAATAGTGAATGAAACACAAGTTTACTTATGATCGATATTTCTCTCGTCTCTTCTTCCTTCTTCAATTGATTTTTTGACTGATGATGGGTCAATCATCTGTTCCTCTCAGCCTGAATCTTTGATTTCTCCCCTGTCCCCACGCAGTGCTTGTATGCGTGCAGAGTCTGACAAACCAGTCCCGTCTAGACGAAAATATCTACACAGAGATGAAAGAACTATAACCAGAAGCAATTTGTTGGCCAATTTATTGTTGGAATAAATTACATTTTAAAATATATTCATATAGAAAACAGCCATTTTAAATTGTAACAATATTTCACAATATTACATTTTTTTTTTAATTAATATTTTATTTCAAAAACAATAAAGTCTTCCCGACCCCAAACCGAAAACTATAACTATATGGAGCAGAAGCCCCATCAGAACAGCACTGAATGCTCCAAAGTCAAAATGTACACAAATTCAGAGTCACATGCATTCGAATCAGAGCTGGTGGAAAATCTGGAAAGAGAAAGACAGGAAGAGAGAAAGTGAGTCTGGATTCTCAATGGCTGGGGATGTTTGGGTCAGACCGCATCTGATAAAAGAATCTTTTCTCCACTGGTTTTTCTCTTTCTTTGTGGGCATGGGAGGACAGAGGGAGGGTGTATGTGGGAGAAGAAAGGAAAGAGGGAGGAAAGTGGAGTGGAAGTGAGCTATTTAGAAAATGACTACGGTAAGCTGTAATCAGGCTCTGGTGGGGCTGAGCTCCGGAGCTCAGACAATCTGCCCACACTGGCCTTTACGCTCAGGAAAAACACAGACTAATTACACTGAAATATACACATACAATAGAGTGAGCGAGAAATCCAATGTACGCTTGCATGTATAGTTTCCCAGGAACACAAAAAGCTATTGAGTGAAATGACTTTGCAGGGGAAGAGTGGAGAGGAGAGATTGTGATTATCATTTATGAGGACTATGGAGGAGGACATCGGGTGGGCGGGGGGTGAGAGCTTACATTTCGATTTTTTCAAAAGAGAAACAAGCTTTACCCTTGAATACGAGAGCAGCTCAATAGGAAGGAGAGAGAGAAAGAGATGTTGCTTGTAAATAAACGTTCACATCAGCGTAGGCCCATTTTAAGCATCAATTTATAGCAGCCTGAATAGACTGCGCTGTAGCTGCGCGTTGAGGACGTGCAAGCATGTCGCTGTCAGCGTGTTACAGATGACTTAAGCACATCCCCTGAACGATACGCTTTTTTATTCTGTGAGAGTTATTCTGAGAGTTTTGTTGGTCTAACAGTGCCAATTGTAAGCACATGAAGTGTGTGAGACATGCAGTTTCAGATATTAGCTCTAAGTAAGGGAGAATTTAGCTAATAGCTAATGCTAATAGACTGCGTGTGATGGTGAAAGAAAGTCAAGTCAAGTCAAGTCAGACTTCTTCGGGACTGGAATGATGGTGGTGGCTTTGAAGCATGTGGGGACAACAGCCAACAGAAAGAAAGGTGAGGAGAGAAGAGATGTGGACTTATAAGAGAAGAAAATGCGAAGCCACTATCAAAGAAAAATAGAAGAGGTGAAGAGTATCAAAACTTAAAACAGAGAGACAGACTGGCTGCCTGACACTGCAGAATGGAGACTCACATAATGACATGCGTAC